CTCGGCGGCTCTGCCATTGACGAGCAGCCGCGTGGGAATGGAGCGGCCAAGGAGCGAGTCCCAGAGGCCGTCGCCCGGCGACGAGACGTCGACGCGGTCGTCCTCGCGGTAGAGGACCTTGCGCTGCTGCGGCAGCCACGCCATGTCGCCGAACTCGTGGAGGCGGCCCCAGGCGGCCACCTGGCCCGCGAAGTCCGAGTCGTCGCGCGTCACGAACGTCAACGACCGCTTGAACAGCGGCTGCAGGGCCAGGGTGACCTGAGAGACCACGCCGAGAACCCCGAGACTGACCTTCGCCGCGTCCAGGTCCGGGTGATCGGCGCCGAGCTCCCTCACCACGGCGTACCCCTTGCTGGCCGGCGCCGGCGTCACGATCCTCAGCCCGACCACGTACTCGTGCACGGCGCTGCCCTTGCCCCACAGCGAGCTCCCGTGCGCGCCCGTCGACAGCAGGCCCCCGATCGTCAGGCCGTACCAGTACGGCGAGTTCGGGAGCGACAGCCCCGCGGCGCCGGCCGCCTCGACCAGGTCACGGAGGACCATGCCGCTCTCCACCGTCATGAGCCCCTTCTTCGCGTCGATGCGCACCGTCCGGTTGAGCCGCTCCGTGCTTATGATGGCGCCGTCGAGGCCGCCGGGGCACATCAGCTTGGGGATGCTGTGCGAGTACCTCGTGGCCACCTTCATCTTGCGCTTCGCGGACACCGCGGCCGCCACGGCCCCGACGAGCTCCTGCTCGGTGCGCGGGTAGGTGACGCTGCGCGCGCGGCAGACGACGCGGTCCGGAAAGGAACCGACCGAGTTGGTGACCGTGCAGTTGGACGTGCCGTCCGTGCAGACCACCGGCTCCGGAGGAGGGCTGCCGCCGGCGAGGTGGAGCAGGATGGCTACAAGGAGAAACGAGAGCATGCTTCCCATCGATCTTCCTTGTCCTCGCGACATCGTGTATGATTCTTAGTTTCTTACCTACTACTGCTTTGCTTGTAGCCATTGGACATGGCAGGGCCTTAAATAGGTTGAGCACCATGCTGTCACACACCCGTGTGATTTTGTGTGTTAAAAAATCCCTGCATAACTTGAATTGGTCGTAGCCATTTTCATCTTGCGTGAGCAAGAAAATGACACTGTTTTTAAAAGATATACACATCCATTCTCATTATAAAAGTTCAGCGGAGTAACAAAGCAGCCTCACTATAACAAAAAACAGTTTTGCTAAGTCTCAATGGGACTGAGACTTTGTTATGTCTTTATCGATACTCTATTTCTTTGATCTTGCATGGAGATTTATACAAAAAGTTTCTTTTCAGTGTTTTCTTTTCTTTCTTCATATCATTTGACTAAGACTTGGTTAAGTCTAAATCGACTAAGACCTAGCCACACGCAACAAAAAAAAAAATCAAGATCTTTAGATCATTGAACGAACACTACCACTACCTGGACGAGCTACAGACGCGTTGTTGCCGTCGCTCCCATATGGGAGCCGTACTGATCTTGTCGATGATAGTATGTAAGTATGCATGTGCATATAAGAATCAACGCCATGGAGTTGTAGTTGTCGCAGTTACTTAAACCCTTGAATCGATCTGAATTGACCGAGAAACCCTAACCTCACAGTTCCAAGGAGACAGCAGGATTTGACGAGAATCAAAGCTCTAAAGGCCAGCTCAAAGATGAAGTGTCACCTTTGCAAGGACTAAAGAAAATTTAACCTAAACTACTAACCGGAGACGAGGCATGGGAATTTACCTCCCTGCTACCAGCCATGGGAGCGACAGACAGAGCGATGATGAATCCACGAGTTGATTGGTGAAACTTCTTCTTTTTTGCGAGGGGATCGGTGGAACTTAAGAGGGGAGAAAACTTTGCCCTAGCTGCATACGTGTGAGGGGAAGGAAAAGATATCAGGGCATGTTGACATGGTAAACTAGGTAGCGAGACATCAGTGACATTAGTGTTGCATGCTCACGGGAGCAGTTCAAGCAAATATAAGCTAGAGTATATTACACCTAATTAAGAAATGATACTAGTATGGTAGGTATTTTGGCTTGCATAACAGCATTAACCCTGATGAGGCGTCCGCCTATTAGAAAACACAGCACGTAGACGTCTCTTGTCTCGAGTCTGAACTTCTATCTGGAGGATATTCACTGGGGCTGCGCACTACGCATGCTTCTGCCGTTAAAAAGGTCTTCAACAACTTCATCTGCCTCGGTGGTTGCAAGTCAACCCCTTCGATGTCAAAGCGGGCGGAAAAAAATTAGTCAACTTCGTGTTAGCATCATTGTGCGGTCTTTTTAATTAATCTGCGTCTATTCATAAGTTGTGTATATGATGAAGTGTCTTCGAATCTTCTCAACCCAATCATTCTTATTCCAAGGCGCTTTCCATCCATCTATACAAACTAAAAATTGCACCAGCGTTAGGTATGCCGCAGGCGGAGGACGCGTCCGCGTTGATCAATTTTGCATTGGCATGGATATTAAAGTTGCAGTGATTAGCTTAGTTTCGGCTTAGCGGACCGCACCGCATGTCCGTGAAGTTTTTTTTTAACACGGTACATACGCAAGCGTTTATATATACGCGCATACACTCAACCCTATGAATGCACACACGCACGCCCTATTCCTATGAGTACCTTCGAGAGACTGAGTCGGGGCGCGTCCGCTTGACCAGCGTCTTCGTTGTCCTCTCCGCCTCCTACCGACCAGTCCAGATACACTATTTATTGCGGTTGTATTCATGTATCGCATGATGAGTTGTTTGCTAGTGACACGGGCATTTTTGATCCACAAAATGGGTACGAGTTATTGGAGATGCCCCAGAGCTGCGACGGTTCAAGTGCTTGACAGTGTGCATGTTTCTTTAGGAAGAAGTGTCTGCGGTTGACCGTTTCAAGCAAAAAATGAGGTAGCCTAGTAGGAGTAGTACAACCGATGGCTTGGGCACTAGGCGACACGTCTTGAAAAAGATGCTCGCAGCTTCGGTTGAACTGTCGCCCTACGCGCCGCGCCGCGCCGGCGGCCGGCCATGTTTGTTGTATGCAGGAAGGATGAAGGACACGCCAGTTGGGACTTGACAGGCTCCTTTGATCCTTTCCATCAGGCTATACATGCACCCTGCCAGTACGCTACCCAGCGGATGATCACATATGCCATCCTGCCAGTACGCCACACAGAGGATAATCACATATGCCACCGCCGGTGATGTCGCGTTGAGGGGAAAAAACGTATCATTATATTCATCGTCAAACAAGGTTGTAAGTTTTTTATTATAACGGGAGGTTAACAACCGTAAGAGACTCCCCGAAACCGTGGTGTGATCCTGGCGTGGCAGAGTTGGCTCGGGTCGAGATCTCCCGGATCTGGCGGCCTGGCCACAACGAGTGGCGCGGGGTGACGGCGGCGACCCGGTGTGGTTGCTGCATGGGACATGGGTCGGGGTGGCAGTCTCTTGCTGCATGCAGTGCGAACCCCCGCGATGTGGCGCGGGCCCGGCGTGGCGGCGCTACTCGGGGTCTCCTGGGCGGCGATGCTGCCGGTCTTGGCGGCAGTGTGGTTCGATACGCCAATGTGCGGGCAGGATCTAACATGGTAAGGTGCAGTGGGCATAGTGGACCTTGTAGGTGGTGGTGAACAGCGTCCCAACAACGTGCAGGTGTTGGGGCCGGTCTAGTCAGTGTTGGCACACGCTTTCGGCGCGCTCCTCTCCCCTGATGGTCTATGGTGGTGTCGGGCCAAAGAGGACTTCCCTCCAACCCTAATCGGGTCTATGCGGGCCGAGGCCACGTGGATGGCCACCTCCCATGTTCGGACCGCCGCCAATGGGTGTGGATCTACCGCCGACAGGCCACAAATCCATCCCTCACCCTTCGGGGGATCTCGCTTTGCCCACCGGGGCAGGATGGGCGGGGAGTCCTGATTTGCCCGTGCCTAGGGTCTAGGCATGGGCGTAGGGTTGATCAGGGGCAAGGAGTGACCTTCACGCTTGTTCCTTTGGTGTGCAACGGTTGCAGGGTGGGGTGAGGTGGATTCGGGGCCATGAATGTCGGGACGGCAACCATGGGTGAAAGTCCGCAGTTGACTCTCCGGCGGACATCATGACGATGGTGGTTGCTATGTGCCCTTGGTCGTATGGATGACAACGGGTGTAGGCATGTAGCAGCAGGTGACTCGTGCACACTCTTCCTGTGGCAATGACACCCAAACTCGGGTCTGAAGGTTTGTACTCATCAAAGATGTCCTTGGCACCTAGTGGCTGCCAATCGAAAGCACCACACTTTGGCGTTGGTGCCGGCTGTGCCCAAGAGTGTCGCTCTCTTTTCAAGAACGTTGTTGTGGTTCTTCTCTATGTGCCATGTTCCGGGTGAAAATCCTCGTCCGTCTCGGATGGACAGCGACAACGCTTAGCGCCGTCTTTCATCCTGAGGACATTATCATGGAGCTTAGGTGTCATGGGCGTGTCATGGAACTTCAACGTCTTCAGGCCTTCGATGCTGCCGTCCTTCGGCAACGTAATCGCCTTGCTTTCCTCCAGTGTCATTTTTCTGGTTATCCCAAAATTTGCTTTATAAGAAGACTTCCTCACTGTCATTTTTCTGGTTATCCCAAAATTTGCTTTATAAGAAGACTTCCTCACTGCCTTGCCTTGTATCGTTCGGCCGTGCGCTTTGATTTGTGCTTTAGCAAGCGTCTGTTTGGAGTATATAACTTTATTGGCATACATCTTTTGTTAGTCAAATTGAAGACCTAGAAATCCATGCCCGACTTACCTATCTTGCTGTAGCGAGTACCTAAAACCAAAGACGCCAAGGCGCCAAGGAAGTAGTAACTGTTGGCTCCAGCTCATTCGACACGGGCAATCAGTATTATCATTTATTTACATGCTGCAAGAATAATGCACACCAAGAGAAGAAACATTCAACCATGCACACGCTAAAGAATGAGAAAGGGGGCAAACAAGTTCACAAACGGTTGCTATCGAAACATTGTAGTTGACGGAAACTAATCCTCACCGATAACACAAAGCATGCTGTACAAATCAAAGATTATACTATAATGTGAACTCGCTAAAATACTTACAATTACAATTGATACAACTACCTGATTTCGAAACATAATACAATTAATTTCACTAACCAGGTTCAAAATTGGGGAGCTGAATTATACAACGGGGACTTAGGGGGGAATATAATATATCATTGCTTGGTACTACCCTCTCTTCGCAACCTTTCGTCTTTTTTCGACAACCCGTTGATCTGCTGCTCAAGCTGTCATGCAGACAAAATAATCAATGTCTCAGACACATGATTTAAAGTCGAAAACATAACTTACAAAAAGTAAAGAATCTCTTTGTTTAGATCATGCAAACCATTAAAACAAATGCAAAGCTCCAAATATGGTTGCTGACAATTTACCTGATTATTTCTCAGCTTCAATCTCTGCACTTCCTCAGAGAGTTCTGTGACACTGCAAATTTTCACAAATTCAGTTAAGAGTCCTTGAATACGGAGGAGCACTCTGAGAACGGTAGTATACCTTCGCTGTAGTTGGACGACATACGACTCCAATCCCTTCTCTCTGGCAAGCGATCCAAATGACTGAACATATATAAGCACTTGTTAAAACAATCACAAGAAAATCTGCTTAACAGTAATTGACCTTTAAAGTTCACATGTCTTGAGGTCAAATGTGAAATAACATATGGAACACACTCCATCAGACACACCTGAGACAAACCAACTGTACTTGCATCGGAAGCATCTGCCAGAAAACATTCCCCGCGTGAACATGAGATATCAGTATGCCAGTCAAATTATCAGATTGAAGTTTAACATAAACAATTCTCATGATACGTACCAGATGTTTCCTCAATTGAAGAAATCAATCTACTTAGCACTTCCTGTAAATTCATTCAACGAATTGTAAAAATGCTGACATTTTTTTGTGTGTTTTGAAATAATAAATGCAATAAAATACCTTTTGCATAGAATTTTGCTGCATCAAGAATTGTAGTGTCGGTAGAATTGTGGATGAATTGGAAGCTGGCCGTGTTACTCCACTTGGTAAATTTGGCCTGCTGTTGCTGCTTGCTGATGAAGCTACCTAAGAGTAGGCAAGTAGAGTTAAAATTATTCATGTCCAAATTAAAACCTGAAAAGGCAATATTAATAGGCACAGTTGCACAAAACAAACAACTGGGTGTATTTTCTGGAAATGTCAACATAATATCCCCCTTGCAGCAACCCCTGCCTAGCAAATCTATTGGGGAGAGTGGGACCATGGTCGAACTATATTTGAAGGAACAATGATAATAACATGTGAGATATACATTGAATGCTCTGGGTTGCTTCAGAAGTAATATTCTTCAGGATTCTAATTATGTGCAAAATGAAGCCAGCAAGTTTCATCCACCAAGGCATTGTGGTCGTCTGGAGGTATCAATCAACTGACCATACAAGTTGTTTTCCATGCGAAAGAACTTGAGGCTCCAGATTTGTCTACTAGTAGAGTTTTTATTTTTCGAGAAAATGCAAAGACTTTGCATTTCATTTCATTGAGAAGATGAGTTTTTTGGTTACAACCTCCTAAGAGGCAAGAGCATAGAAAAAAAGGTTACAATCAATGAACATCCCAGATTGCTGGCAGTATCAGTCTACTAGTAGAGTCATAAACATTGTAAATCAATCACTTCAGCTCTTAGTAACATAATGGACTTGTGCAGTTTAAATAATGCTACCAAGTAAATTCTACTAAGACAATCCAAGGTTTCATTTTGACTCGTAATTAAGACAAATATCAAATACAATTAACTATTCACTATCCTAGTTCCCAGTAACCTCTACGCCAAATAACCCAGTACCTTTTGACCAGGATTATCTGATGTGACCTGAAATCGCCCCCTTCGCTGGACAACATTTCCTTCCGACGCCTCATCAGGTGCAACTGTTCAAACATGACATGTGAAATTAATTGCCAAGTAATAAATAGAAGAGATGATTAGATGGTGACCTCAAATAATTTCAAAATTATTAAAATAACATGAAACTTTGGTTGCCAAATCATGCATACTAGACTCCAATTTTATGTGAATCTAATCACGAGAGATGTGATGTAGAGCTCATGATCATCTTACTAGAGTACTAGAGAGAGGTAGATGTAGGGCTCATGATCATCTTACCAGACAGATGTGGGCGTGTGTCCTTCATTTGACGGAAAAACAAAGGGCCACTCCGGTTTCTGCTGCTCGGATTTTTCTGATGAAATTCATTCCTTCCATTTTACAAAATTTGAAGTGTTACCACAATGATAGCCACATGAGACAAAATACATGGAGAAGAGTAAAAAATGTGGGCCAGAATAGGAAGCTATAATACAATGAACAGAAGGTGTCAATATCACCACATTGTTGCCAAAAGTTGAAAACAAATCAGTACTTCTTTGTGCTTGTATCCATTTTCTAGATCGGCTACAACAACAAATGGAGAATGTTCTACCAAATGAGTCAGAATGTTCTATGTAACGAGTCCACCAAACCAAATATCAGAATATTTTATTTGTACGATCAAAGGGAGGTCCAAAGAATATTTCAAGCTAGGTTGACATAAAAACAACAAACAACAACAACAACAACAACAAAGCCTTTAGTCCCAAACAAGCTAGGTTGACATACATACATAAATTTTGCAGACCCTATTTTCAAGTAAAATTTAAAAGGAGACTACAAGTCTATGCCCCACATGGACTTGAAAGTTTGCCTCTCCCAAAAGAACAATGTCCTTACATTTCTTTTCTAGTATTTCAGTAAACAAATGGCCACCAACAACCAAGGAAATGTTGATGTGAGCCAAGCCTAGTGAGGAATGCTAGAATAGTAGCAGCAGCGGAATTGCACTTCTTCAAAGGCTACTAATGGAATCCACGGTAAAATTATTCCCATTATTCTGTATTTGAGATGAAGAAATTGTAGTCCAAGGAAAATGGTGTAGCTAGCATGTAGGAAGAGAAGAAAAAAAGGAAAAAAGTTGTTTACCTTCGTGAATCACTACCAACATTCTTGTAAGGCGAAAGAACATGCTCAGGAATAAGAGAACCACTTGAGAACTTGGGATATACACTATTTCCCAAATTTGAGGGTACGGAGACACTTCTTTCCAGATTTTCACCATTACAGTTGTCACTTCTACTATGGTCCATTTCTGAGAACTGCTGCACAGGTGATATAGACTCCATGCTTGGTTGTACCCGCAAATTCGTAGCAGTAGGGTCCGGATCATCATCACCGCCGACATCAAAGCAAGACCTGTGTCACTAGTCAGTGAGAATCCTTCACAGTTGACTAGTTTTTTAAGTGACAGCTCAAAAGATGCAAAACATTATCATCTGAATTACGTTTAGCCATGTACACTAGCTTCAGGCCCTATAAGTGATTCATTTTTTTGTAGAACCATGAACTCCATCATTACCAGATGTATTTCACGCGGTACAAGAGACTGCCAAATTGATTGCACAATACTGTTGGTAAACATAATTTAGTTGGAGGTTTCAGCTCTAGCCTACTCCAACTTGCTTGGGACTAAAGGCTTTGTTGTTGTTGTTGTTTAAAAGGCAGTAAATTCTGAGCTCTGGGGTCACAAACATCACAGTTTGTCAAACAGATTATTGCAGATAAAACTATAGCATTGTTCATAACATCAAAAGATTGTTCAATTTGGTGGATACATGTAGTAGACTGATCAAACTCCAGAACTTACTTTAGTGCCTCAAGGGGACGGGTTGGAAAGGAAGAGGCAAGATCTCCATCCAAATCTTCTACTTCTTGTATCTCATGCTGTTAGTCGGAAGAATTAGGCAATGATATAATAGTTTTAGGCTACTTTACCAAGTCACAGCAATAATTATGACCATAGTACCTCATCATGCCTTGCAGAAGCACCATGGTTAACCCTTTCCTGATAAATATTTTCTGATTCATTATAAACGTCTTGTAGCCCATTCCTATCTTTGTTGTTGGCACCATCAAAATGGTATGTGCCATTTGAACTGTCTAACTGCCAATAAATAAATTTAAAGATTAGAGAACACAGGTTCCTCACGAACATTTTGTTGTGTCTGCGACGGTTTGCGGCAGGAGGCTGATTATTGCTCCATCTGCATCAGCTAGTAGAAGGGGAAAATGAGCTCTTACAAGGGCAGCTGCGGTTTTCAAGTCCTCCAGATTAAAATTCCAGCCACTGATGCCCCTTATGTATTCTTTCTGAAAGGCAAATACTTGTGTTAGTAAGAACTGATAGAAAAAACTGTACTGATACTTCAAATCAAAATAAAGAAAGAACAAACAATTTGTGTACTCCAGCAGGCTAATATAGATAAATGAGAACTATAACCATGTACTTGCTACTACGACAATTCCAAGTTCTAAACAGCTGTAGTAAAATATTTCCATAGTAAGCCCACAGAAAGAGATTGCCTATCAGTTAACAGAACAAGAGCTTCCTTAAAAACCAAGTAATTTAATACCAAGAGTAATTAGATAAAAATAAAATAATATAGGAGATCAGCAACGACTGCAAAAATAATTTCCTTTATTTGAAGGAGGCAAACCTCGAGTCAACCTCACATAACCCATTTAACAAATCTAAGAACCTGGTAAAAACACAAATCTAAGACATATCTGACAAAACAGTGGAAAAGATCAGCACTGACTTCCATATTCGGAAGGCGCAAGATTACACATAACCAAAGAGCAAGCTCTAACCTGTGATAACTGCTCCTTGCTCTCTGGACCAAGCTTGTTATTGAGAAGTAAGTCAGCCTCTTTTGCCTACAGAAGAGTAAAATATAGTCAGGCTGGTTACAACAATGTCATGCCACCCCGTAAACACTGTTCTGCACCTTCAACGCCCTAAAGCGGTCGCCCAGTGGAGTAAGTCCCTCAAGAATACTCTTTGCCAAAAAATCAGCTGATCGCGCTTGCTTAAAAAACGAATGTTTCAACAGCTTTTCTGAAGAGGGACGCTTCTGTGGATCCTTGACTAAACATACAGCAACCAAGTCCCTAAAAGACTGCAAATAACATGCACATAATAATCAATATAAATATCAATTATCTACAAAAGGAGCGCTGTAAATAGAAAAAAAGAACCTTCGAAAATCTTTTATCCCTCTCGTAGTCTAGACCTGGTGGTGCATTTTGCAACGTCATAAGCAACACCTGCAATGGAATAAGTGTAGCATGCAATGTTATCATTCTGTAACAGAGTAACTTGAAGTAGGTTAATTAACGTTAAACAGATATGCTTACGTACCTTCATTGGAGGGTACTTCGAAAATGGAGCGTGACCATGTGCTAGTTCTAATGCTGTTATCCCGAAGGACCAGATGTCAGCTCTGTTTGTAAATTGTGATTGAAAAAAAAGGAGAAACAGCTTAATCAGTTAGGATACTTAAATAGTCAGATTTAGAGTTACTAGACATGAACTTACTTGTAATCATAGCCATGCAGTTGTTGCATGACTTCAGGAGCCATCCTGCAAGATGCATGGGGTCATGTATGCTTTAACATAAGTAACATAAGCAGAGAACAATGTGAACAATGGATATGAGACACTAAACCTAAATGTTCGCAAGACATTACCAGCAAGGGGTCCCAACAAATGTATTTCTAGCTCGTTGTCTATTCCCAGTGTCAAACATGCAGGCAGATACTCCAAAGTCTCCTAGCTTAACAGCTCCATTTGTATCTATTAGGATATTTCCAGCCTGAAATGGATTAGTAATTTCGAACATAATTTAGAACATGCAAACAAAGAATGGTCTAAGTAAATATAGTAACTAAACATCAATGTTATCATTCCTATTTGCTACCTGTTATTTAGAACATGCACAACGTTGATTGCCCTAACGATATACTCGCATGGAGAGAGAAAGGGATAAGAGAATCAACAAATGTCACATGGCAGCCAATAACGTGAAAACAGGGGTGTGCAAAACCAGTGCCAAAAACCCGTCTTGTTAGGGCCCTAACCATGGCAAGTGGTAACACGGTTGTCGGTTGGATGCACATTTGTGCCTAGCCAATGGGTGCCAGACCAACAAACTTTATTTTGGATCAGCCCCAACATTTATAGCAAGCCCATATTCCGCACAGCCAATAATTGGTAATTGGTAAAGCAAATAAATGCCAGTACAAAATATTGGCTATCTGCATGCTCTTCCTTATTTGACCAATGTTGCCTTGCCAACTACTCCCTCCGTTTCTAAACATAAGTCTTTGTAGAGATTCCACTATGAACTACATACAGAGCAAAATGAGTGAATGTACACTCTAAAATGCATCTACATACATCCGTATGTGGTCCATGGTGAAATCTCTACAAAGACTTGTATTTAGGAACGGAGGGAGTACTGACTAGGCACAACAAGGATTTAGGCATCCAACCATGCAACCACTTGTCACCCTGGGCAATGCTTGGGAATCCCAGCCAGGTGACAAATCATCACTTGGTTAGTTGACAACACGGTAAGAGACTAGTCGTTCTCTAGACAAACATCTTAATGAAACTAGTTGGCAATCTCCTCTGCCCTCAATAGCATTAAAACTGAAGTGCCCTGACCATTCTTCTGGTTCCTCTCATCATACTGTTCTACCAGCAATACATGATAAAGATGCATTTGTCTCCCTCTTGGAACAAAAATCTTATGTCGCAAGCCACAGAGAAGCAGCCGTAACTATCGACGCACCACCCTTTGAGGGGATGACATGTGGTCTGACCCCCAGCCCTCAAAGATAGGGTGCATAGCACAAGGCAAAGGCAACAACTGAATAGTTCAACATTTAATACAAGGCTACAAGAAATTCAACTAATAAGGTCGTTTGCAAGGGGAACAGTTCTGGATGATGAATGAAATATCTAAAATGGTAAACATGTGGACTGTAATTAGTTTCTTAATAAACCAGATAAAGACAAATCAACTTGATTCTGTTATGCTAGATGCTTCAGAAGATAATTATGGATTCAAAGAACTCTGAAGTATATACCTTTACATCTCTGTGAATATGCCCTTGAGAGTGTAGGTAGACAAGAGCTTTGAGAACTTCCCACAAAAGTGTGGCAATGACTGCTTCCTCAAACCCATCTGGAAAATTAGTTTTTATTATGTGCAGGGCAGATCCAGCAGCCATGAAAGGCATGACAACCCAAAGTTGATGGTCATTTGCAAATGAACAGCATGCTCGAAGAAGATTTGGATGGTCAAGCAAGCTCATGGTTTGTACTTCCCGCCTTATTCCATCCTGAAGAATGATAATTCCAAAAGGTGAGGAAGACAGGCAAACAAAAAACTAACCAAATACATATAATTAGGTTGAAATAAGCATGTCCATATTGAAGATAAGCAGTAAGCCCGAATAACTGTCTGAAGGAAGAGAACCTATGCATATGTCACTTATCAAACATAAAGTTACCAATTCACAAACAAAAAAGTGCAACCAAAGCATTACTAGAAACATACATACAAGGCTACAAACAGGATTATATTTATATCAAAAATTGGAATAATAGAATTTTTTTCGTTAACTAAACATAGAAAAATTCCACTGCCAAGAATGTAGTCCGCATTTCTACAGTAGACAGTTCAATGAAAGAAAAACCGAATTGTTGTTTGAAAGGTAACATTTGCTGAAAGAATAGCATAGCTGGCAACCAGATGAGGAAGGTAACAGATGGCCCATTGATAGTTTCATGTGCGCATTATTCTTTGCTCAAACTGATTAGACAGAAGCAGATTCATAGCTTGTTCAAAACATTCTAAAGAAAATATTGAAGCGGCGTAATAGTCTACATTGAAGTAAGCTCATATGCATTTTTGGTAAACTGTAACATATACATACGCTACACTCACATTGGGATTCCAGGATCTCAATCAAAAACCTAATACACAACAGAATAAGGTCTATCCACATGACCAAACCATATCGTTGCTCATCAATACACAAGAGCCTTATAACACTTCAATATTTATTTTTCTAGGCCTTTGGATTATGGATTGTATCACATGCTCGACGTAAAGTAGTTGTTATCATAACAATAATCAATTTATCACAAAAAGGATCGACAGACAAGGTAATGTCATGAAATATATTTGAACTTTTTTTTTGCGGACAACAATAAATTGCAAACTACTCACCAGGTCACTACTGCACTTCTCAAGGTCAAGAACTTTGATGGCAACAAAAGTATTGAGCGGGACACAAAGAGCCCTGTAAACTGTGGCACTAACTCCTTCTCCAACTTCCTCATATAACTTATATTCCTTGGGATCAGTTGGAAATCCCCTGTTACGTGGTGCACGCTCCATGGTCCAAACTTATAGAACGTCAGAAGTAACAGCAACAATCTTACGGTTTGCATAGAATTGGAGCACGGAAGGCAGTGTCAAGAACACCATATAGGTGTGCCCAAGAAAAACCATCAGCATGGTTACATCTGCAGATGAATGCATGGACGTTGTATGATTCTTTATTTCATATTATCAATCTCAAACGGCCTTTGGTCCAAGGGCAAATATAGGCTAAGACGATAATGAAGCAGATACCACAACGCCACCCAAGCTGGCTCACACCAAGTGCACCGTTATAAGCTGCAAAACAAAGAATAGGAAGTCTTCAACATTGTGAACACACGAATGGAGGATATAGGCTAACTGCAGAGTAAAGATCAACATAGCACAAACATAAAATGACCATTTTAGGAGATGCCCAAACCCAACAAATGTGACCAACAAGCAGCACCAGAAAGCATACTGAAACCTGGAAAGCAAAGTCCACAGCTCCATAGCCATAGAGTAAGCTCTAGTAGACACACAGGAGTCATGAATTAGGCCATCCCTAGTGAAACGGGAAGTTCGTTCAGTCCAGCATTGGCAACCTGGACTAAGCATGAAAAAATATACCCTAGCATCCAGAGTCTAACTCGGGACAGGTGCACAAAGCTCAAGCGAAGCTTATCAAGCTCAGGTCCCTCAAATCGAACCAAAATCGCTAGCGCGCGCTTATAGTTCATCATGGTAGCTGAGCGACACTGATTAGCTGGGCCGCAAGGGCAACAGGCTTCAATCCGGCGAACAACTTGTCCGCTAGCAGCAACCGAATCACCACGCCATAAGCTACGATGACCAATCGACCGGTTTGGAGCAGCTAGTAGCTACCAACCCTAAAGATCGAGCTGCCGGGAAGCTTCGCCGCGACGGTACGAGGCCGAACAGAGGGTAACCCGGGCAGCAGCGTTACCTGGACGGCGCGCCGGCGGTGGTTCGAGGGGCGGATCGCCTCCGGAAGAAGGTGCTGCGGGCGCCGAGACGGCGATGGCGGATCTCGCGGGGGAGGAGCTCTCGCTAATCTAGGAGCCTTGCTCGTGGACGGACGCGCAGCAGGACGGATCTGGACGGCGGAGGATGAGACGACTGCGGCGGCGGAGGAGGAGGGCGGCGGCGACTGGGAGGAACGGGGCAGGGAGCGTAACGGGCCGGGGGAAGACGAAGGGGAGGAGGGAGGAGGAGAAGGTGGAGTAGTGGTCTTGCTGGAGATTTTCTGTGGCTGCTGCGTATTTTTGGCTGGGGTTTCCGGCGGAATAAAAACTGATTAATGGGGCAGATGGATTTGGTTTGTTTTCGATGTGCATGTGGCATGTGGTCGGTAGCCAAAGATCCTGATTCCCTGTTTCTCGTGGTCGACGGCGCACGGCGGGTGCCTGTACCGGAGGCGCAAAAGGGATGCGGTTTCAAAAGGTTCTTTCCCTTCTACCCTTTTCGAGGATCAAAGAGTTTTTTTTATACATGGGATCAAAGAGTTCTTCTTCTCCAAACGAACTAAGATCTCTTTTTCTACCCACAATCTAAGGGACTGATGTTTTTTCTTTTGGAGAATATCTAAGGGGTTATTTGGAGCGTGGAACGTAGAGAATCCGTTCTATATAAAATAGACAAAATCACTTTTGGTTAATCTAACTAATCCGTGAAATGTGCAAAATTCTCCGTTTGTAGAAAAAACGACTATTAGTTGTTTTTCTAGGAACGTGATTCTTATATCTCTTTCCTCTCTCTCATATTGGTCCTTGTGGGCATGTTCATCGGTGTAAAAGAAGAACCTGCAGACGTCTATGACGCGATGACAGCCGCGACGGGCTCACTGGTGTGCCACACATCGAGGTTGCCCTTCTCTTGTGCCACGTCTGCCGCTGCCTTCGCGCCGTCCACCCAGTCAGTTGCACCCATCGAGGTCAGCTCCTTGGCTTCTGTATGTGTGTTCAAGTTTTTGCCCTCTGTGGCTATCTACATGAGTGTATACTGGGCTATCATTTTGTGAGTTTGACAGCCGACGAATCAGCTCTCATGTATTTGGATACCGCAACAAAATGTCATGGTAGGATAAAAAATAGTTTGTATAGAAACTGGACAAACACATTTTTCAATCCAAATGCAAACTTCTATAAACTGATTATTAACAAGAACAAAAGCATAATAGAACTAGTTTTAATAAAATATCAAGTAAAAACTCATTGTCTGTAAATCAAGCGCTAATGTTTGCTATCAAACAACCGCTAAGAGAGTAAGAGTGATTATTATAGGTACTTTGTCGACATATTTCTGATCCGTGGAAAGCTCTTTGGTTTATATCAGTTCAAAACTTACTTCGGGGCACCTTTCTTCGTTCTTCCTACATCGTATGCAACATTCTCGTCCAATGGGATTTTTTTATTGATTTATGCTCTTCTCTCTTGTATTAGAGTCACCAAGCGTAGCATCACATCATTATCATTTGATGATTATTGACTAGGACACGACATGCCACATCCCTTGGTGCAGAGGGTCGGGTAAAACACAATGGTGAGCAGCTCTCTCGCCCCTGAAGCTTAGTGGTGTTATAGCCACAAATTCCAACCAAATGTGGGGTTAAATTTAGTGTGAGCTATGAGTTCATTGAGTTGCTCTAATTGGATATGACAATTATAATGTGAACCATTTGTTTTACTCTTTACTCATCTCCCACTTGTGCTTAATTCTTTGCGGAGTTGCATTCGTTGTGTACTAAAAAATAAACCGACAAGCTAAGATGCATTCACATTGGACGACTAGCATGGTGTCCATGTGTTACCTTTCTCGGTAGGGATAATGAGGATGATGTGAATGTCCATGAAACAAAACTTAATGTGAGCGAAAGTCCTCTTCTACCCCCGCGCTCATTTGAGATCGGGGTGAAAAGTAAAATGCGAAGAAAATGAAAAAAAATCTAAACAAATGTGCAAGCTTTGACAAATGTTTTGAGTGCTTGAAATTCTCATCATGAAATGACATTCGTGGAAGACATAACAAGAAAAACAAAATCAGGAATCCAAACTGCTTTCATAAATAGCATTTTAAAGCATTGATTTTTTATATTTTCTTTTGTCTCGTCTGCCAAGAAAATGTTGTTTCATGATGAATTTTTGTATGTTGATATGTCTTCAACATATCTATAATTTTTTTGTTTCATGCTATTATATTATCAATCATAAATACTTTATATGTAATTTTATATCATTTTGTGGGACTAACCTATTAACTCAGTACCTAGTGCCAGTTGTTGTTTTCTGCTTGTTTTTGGTTTTACAGAAAATATGTACCAAACGGAGTCCAAACACGATGAAACTTTTTGATGATCTTTTTTGGACATAAGAGACCATAGAAGGTTCGACGATGGACCAGAAGACCTACGAGGAGACAATAAGGCAACATGGTGTGCCCTAGGGCGTAGGCATGCCCTGATGCCTTGTGGGCCCCTTGTGGCTCCGTCTGACCTAATTCCAACTATATAAATTCTCAAATATTGGGAAACCCCCAGAGAAGCCACCGAAACAATTTTTCTGCCACCGCAAGTCTTTGTTCTTCCGTGATCCCATCTAGAGACCTTTTCCGATACTCTGCCGGAGGGTGAATCGATCACAGAGGGCCTCTACATCAACATTGCTGAAAGATCGTGGATGTCGCCTAATAGGGAGTGAATATGCGCTTTAAAACAATTATGGTTTATGCTAAATTTGGAATAAAACTAGCGTTTAATTTGTCAAGCACAACACCTAAAACAACTAGTATCACCTAGGTGCACCAACAACGTATGCTAAGCAAGATAAACAACTAAGTGATAGCAAGATATATAATATGAAACACTATGGCTATCAGAAAGTAAAGTGTATAAGTAAAGGGCTCGGGTAAGATATAACCGAGGCATGTGAAGACGATGATGTATCCCGAAATTCACACCCTTGCAGATGCTAATCTCTATTTGGAGTGGTGTGAAGGCACAATGCTCCCCAAAATGCCACTAGGGCCACCGTAATCTTCTCACGTCCTTGCATAATGCAAGATGCCATGATTCCACTAAGGGACCCTTGAGGGCAGTCACCGAACCCGTACAAATGGCGACCCTTGGGGGCAGTCACCGAACCTGTACAATTGGAAACCCTTGGGGGCGGTCACCGGAACCCGTACAAATTACTCGGGGCCATCTCCACAACTTAATTGGAGATCCCGGCGCTTGTCCTGGAGCTTTCCACCATAATGATTGAGCTCCGTGACACCACCAATCGTCTAAGGCGCCCAAGCACCCAAGAGGAACATGCTCTAGGGGATGAAGCACCCAAGAGTAGTAAGCTACTCAACTTTCACTTCCACGTATCACCATGGAGAACTGCACCAAATGCAATCGCAACGGCACACGGAGTGCCGAAGTCCTTCTCTCCCAAGTCGCGCCACAACAACTAATGCTATGGAGGAATATGAGAGGAATAACACAAGAACAGAGCATGAAGAACTCCAAGGTATAGATCCAAAGGGTTCCCCTCACTCAGAGGAGAAAATAATTGGTGGAAGAATAGATTTAGATCTCCTCTTACTACCGCTTGGGGAGCAGTACTACCGGTTGAAGAGGTACTACCGCTCTACTACTGCTTAAAGAGGTACTACCGCTCGGAAGTTGTACTGCCGCTTAGAGCGGTATTACCGCTCTCTACTACCATGAAATTCGTGATGAGTTCTAGAAGCATTTTCCCAAGCGGAAGTAGTTGCGGTAGACCATAATGGACGTACCGCATGAAGTGGTACTACCGTGGTACCAAGTAGTACTACCGCTTGGGTGCTGCAAAATAGCCCAAGCAAAACAGAAGAACTAGGTAAGACTGAAACTGTCATAACTTTTGCAAACGGGCTCCGAAATCAGCAAAATCAAGCTTGTTGGATAGAAGACGACAATAACTAGCAATGGAGAATAAATGTTAATAGGATGAGGAAGAGTACCTTCCCTAAATATGAACCGGCAAAATCTC